TGGATTGCTTAGATGATCCCTTTGGAAAGGGTTAGTTTGCTTGACCCTTTGCCTTCAAAATTCTTCGGAAGGGCCCAACACTCGTAGGCCTCCACCAGATGTGGCCTAATATGTATCTAGTGCTGTTTTTGTAGCTGTTTCTCGCCAACAGGTGAAGTTGTTCAGCTTAAATCCTCATTATGAAAACCTGTGGATCTGTGCACCTTATCTCCTCTTGTCAGGGGTTGGTAGGGTACTGAGGAAACATCCTCTTGTCGTGATATCTACTTTCCTTGTTGACTTCTGGACCATGGAGAGACTCTGTTTATAGGGATGCCCCTTTCCCCAGGGCCTCAGTCTGGTTTCCTGACCCATTTGGTTCCTGTTTCTTTGAGGGATCCCATTGCAAGTCAGTCACTTGGCCTAGACATTTTGGACATCACTTGGGTGTTGTAAGACCATTATCCCTAGGAAGGTGTCAGAGTCCTCCCTGTGTATTGACATGAAACCTGCTCTCTATGTGAGAAGACGTGTACTGCACTCAACCGCATGGTCCACCCTAGAGATGCATTGCTATTTGCTTGTCATCAACGGGTAGCCCCTTCTGCATGATAGGAAGTTACTATTGTTTGAGGGCCCTGTGATCCTATGAATTGGCAGCTGACCACACACACACTGAAAATCCTGCTGCAGGTACTCCCTATTGGGATAGAGTGCCTCCTGTGCCTTCATGGGACCTGATCTTTGAGGGCTGGGTTTTTCCATTGTTTGAGCTGCAGCCTCCTGTGAAGGTTTCTCCTGATCCCTTCCTTGGTTCTGACCCTTCTCAGGCAAACATTTTTTAGCTTTTTGGATAAGGTTCCTGCCTCTTGTTCCATGCCTATGGATGCTTCATTGGACCTGGGCAGGTCAAAGGTCTCTTAGAACCATGATTTTTTTGAGCTAGACATGTCTTGCACGTTTTCTCTGTCAGGTCCCAGATATACTTCAATGGTTTTTATTGGACAGGTGTTCATCCTCCTACTCTTCTGAAGAATAGGTTCTCCAGTATGGGGTCACAGTATGCTTTTATACCTGCCTATCTTTGTAAGGGTGCCTCCTCAGAACCTCCTTCTCTGGCTGGGTTGATGTCCCTGGGTTATTTCCCTCCTCCTAGTATTTTCCTTCTGTTTTCTAGAATTGGGAGTGTAAGGTTTTGTCCTTTTGTTGGTTATCGGCTAGTCTCTTTTTGGAGACCTGTTTTGTCCACAGCTCCCTCAGGGGGCCTATACTGCAGGGGCTGGCGCAGTGCTCTTTTTGCTGAACGTATTATGTAATTGGTCTGTTCATCTTGTCAGGCAGTTGCCTTATTCCACGTGTTTTTGTTAGCATATCCTGGTTATATGGGCTCAGTGTCCCTTAAAGTGGATATTTTCTCCTGGTTGGGGACATCTTCTGGTCTGAGCACCATGGTAATTCCCTGTAGCCATCTGTAATCAATGGCATACACCCTTGCTTGGCAGGGGACTATATCTTCATCTGTGCCTCTCAATGACAATGGAAAAGATTTTGTTGAGGTACACAGGGCTCTGCCTCTCTGTAGTTTTTTTTGGCCCTGTGTACTGCTTGCTCATGAAACTGAAGCATGAAGAGGAGGGGTTATATGGGGGCTGGCTTACAACATCAGCATTATAACCCTGACAGTTTCTGATTTCCTGTGAGACTCGGTGGACTCGATAAAGTAGATTTTACTTTAAATACAAAAATAGTATTTAATATCAGCAGCTGATCAGTTTTTGTTGCTGATGTAAAAACAAAACTTTGGTTATAGGTTGTAATGATATATGTACACAGAGCAACCATGTCACGTAATATTGTGTCAGTTGGGATTGCACTTTACTGTTCCCCTTCTGGTGGCTCAGATATACAATGATTCATACAAACTCTGGCTTATTTTGTGATGAATCAGTCTTGATGCTGATTGCATTGTCTGATATATGCAAAGAGCCCATAATGATCTCTATTTAGAACATAGAAAATAAGGGAAAACATTAACATTGAATCAAAACTTTCCTTTATACAATTTCAGAGAAACATTCTCACCGTTCAGTGTGAAAATCCCCTGTATGGCCTTGATCTGCTTCAGTCATGCAGTCCTGCCAGACCCTTTGACGTTACATAGCAGTGTCGGCTGGTTGTATTGTTTGTGGTCGGGGATGGCGCTGCAGTGTACAGGGATCGGATTATATAGGTCAGGAAACTATTCTTTCCCTTTACTAATCTTCACCATTCTACAGAAGTCCAAACACAAACCTCTCCATGGCTGCATTGTACTCCGTAGCAGATCTGCCCGGGCCAAGTGCTGGATCTGTGTCACAAACTGGCAATTCTTCATAAAATTGTGGAATTTTGAGAATTTAGTTACAAATCAGTAACCTGTTGGATTAAATTTTTTCCCAGTCACATCGCAATAGCAGTACTGGCCTTTATAAACATCTGGCTCGGTCTAGTTTATAGTCATTTCCTGCAGGGAGCTCAGCCCGTCCTACATCCCTGTAAATAACGGATGCGCTGTGAATCCACTGGTCTGATGCAGTACGCCACATCCTGCGCCGCGTGCGCCATCCCAGCAGGGTGATTGCAGGCCACATGTTTCACTCTATACACTGGATTATTGTGTGTTTGTATCATTACCGATGTGTGACCAATAACTGCGCTGTCCCATGACAAGTGCGCTCCCAGCATTCCTCTTTCCACAGCATTCAGTGGGTGTGAAATTGTTGATTGTATAGCGATGATGATTTTGTGGATGATGCTACATCAGTTCCATTCACACAGATTGGTGCTTGTGATTTGATGATTAAAGTCAGAATGACCAATCTGCTTTGGCTCTCATTCTTTGCAGTCTGAGTTGTATGTATCATTAAAGAGCTGTGCAAAATGCAGTCTACAGGCTTGGAGTGCAGATCGATTCTGCAGAGGGGCCCGCTGTGAACCTGACTGTGTCTGATTTGGGCGGGTGGGGAATCAGATGCCAGCCAATGATGTCATTTCCTTTGTGTGGAAGTTTAATATGTTCCCACACTGTTCTACCAGCAGTGGGACTGTCAGTGCCATGTCTGTGTGCTGGTGTGTTGTCATGTGTCTGTGTGCTGGTGTGTCGTCATTGGTCTGTGTGCTGGTGTGTTGTCATGTGTCTGTGGGCTGTTGTCATGTGTCTGTGGGGTGTGTTGTCATGTGTGTGTGCTGTCGTGTCTGTGGGCTGGTGTGTTGTCATGTGTCTGTGTGTTGTAATGTGTCTGGGGCTGGTGTGTTGTCATGTGTCTGTGTGGCAGTACTGTTGCGTCACTTGGGTGTGCCGCTGTATTGTGCTTCATGTGTTCCCTGTGTAGTTCTGTGTTGCAGTGTTTCATGTCATGATGTAAATGTTTGAGGTTTGTATTTGGTACACTGGAAGAGGAGATCCACCCATTTCTGTTACATAAAACCTTGAAGTTCCCGGAGTTTTGTGTCATCCCCATCCTACAGCTCCCATCTCCATCCTCCCAGATAGCATGTTTCTGTGCAGAGGAAGCAATCGTCTCTGTGCGAGGAAAGTCACGGCTGAAAGAACAAGGGCTCCATTTAATGCAAATTTTGAAGAGGCAGAAACAAGCCCAGGCAATCCTACGAGTGGGGGACCCCTTTAATGGCAAGTATTTCTAGTGAAGTGGTGGTTTGTTGCACACAGGTAGGTGACTGTGGTAAGTACTCATTTGTATTTATATCAACCAATGGATTGTGAATTATATATTGTATGCTGCAGAGCACAGGCTGTCCACGGGGAACTGGGGGAAGATGTGCTCAGGGGGGCCCTCACACACATGAGGAGACCAATATATTCACGGAGTAGAATATGTAAGTCAGTTACTGAGGGGACATTTAGTACAGGGAGATAAATATTTATTTCAGGGGGAAATATATGCAAGGGTTTCAAAATCCCGATTCGGGGGGGGGGGGGGGGGGGGGGGGGGCATGGGGTGATACTCAGGCACAAAGACACCAGTGAAGAAAAGATATACCAGTGCAGGGATGCACACAATTGTCCAGTATTTGCTATCTATCATAAGTTGTATAAATCTTACAGAAATGGTAGTTGAGGAGTGGAGCTGGAAATAGAGGTATGGAGCCCACCAGCAGGGTCTGTATGAGAGGGGCATGCTGTAAAAACAAACCTTTAATATATTGCAGCTTACTATTCCTTAGATATGATGGTTGCATTCAGGTTTGTTTTTTTTAGGCTTTTATGTCCTTTATTTTTACCTTGAGTCTTATTTTCCAGCTTCCTTTAACAGACCAAGCTGTCCAGCAAAGAAGGCAATTAGAGGATTGAGCCAAGCCATCTACCACTGACAGGGGTTCTTACAATGGTCAGCTTTTATTCATTTATTTAAAACTTTTATCCCAAAAAGCTGCTTAAGAAGTGTTACCTGGAGTTGATCTTTAATTTGTTAGGTCAAGCTAAATCTGCCTGTGCATCCAACACCACCACCCTCTCTACAGACTGACAATGCTGCTGCCCAAAGGAGTGGAACTACCCTAAGAGGGGAAGTGTGTTACTGGCCAGATCAAAAATAAAGGGAAAAAAGCCTGCAAAAGAACACAAATGCAGACACATTTAAGGATTGGTAAACTGTAATATATTACAAATGGGTTTAGATAAAGTTTTAGGAAACCCCACTGTGTATATTAGGGATGTTATTAATCATTTGCAGTTAAAAAAAAAATCTGGCCACTGATATATTATCACTGCTCTGGAGGTACAGACCCCTGGAGGCCCGCTATCCAATCAGATTGTTTCCTTTCACATTTTAGTAGCGTTTATTGATGCAGTGAGGCCAGGATGTTTTGTGCTGCATCTTCCTGTGTGGTTGGCATTGAGACAGAATTCATTTTTCATTTTCATTGTTTATATACTGTATGATCCTGGCATGGGCCCTAGCGCTGTATGGCACAGACAGTGATACTCTGGGGGTGGTGGGTAGATACTGGAGGTCAGGGTGTCATGTTGATGGCCTGGAATCCTCTGAGGTCTGAGATTCACTCCAGATGATGGGGAAGTCAAATGCAGAGCATGATTCTGGAAAGGGAGAAAGAAATACCAACAATATATAACCAGAAAATAATTCCTCTTCAATTATTACCAATACAATTAATGTGCATCCTCCTCCAGATTCTCTCTGGTGGAAATGATGGATTGTGCCATCTTTTAGGGTGGAGTTTAGCCTGGTTTCACAGGCTTGAAAAGAGTCTGGGGCGATTTTGTTTAGTGATTCAGGTGCGATTCCAATGCGAATTGTGAAGTGTATGGCATTGGAAATCGCACCTGAACTGGGCTGAAAATGGCACAGGACTCTTTTACAAATCGCACTACAGCCGGCACGCACATATATAACTGGCTCCATAGAAAAGGCTTTTGGTTTACTTGTCATGAGAATCAGATACGTTTCAAAAACGCATCCAATTCGCAAATACGGTTCTGTTCAAAATAATAGCAGTGTGTTTAAAAAAGCGAGTAAAGCTCCAAATCCTTATAATAGCTTTTATTTCTATACACACAAATGCATTGGGAACACTACAAGATTTATTCCAAATCAAAACATGAAGAAAAATGTTTCAAATTTGTTATTACTTTACAGAAAGTGAAGAAAAAGGAATATTAGGCTGTTCAAAAAATAGCAGTGTCTGCATTATTCTTTACAAACTCAAACCCTAACTGTATAAACTGAAAATGTAGCTTTTCTGTGAATCACTGAACTAATATTTGGTTGTAGTCGCACTGTTTCTGAGAACTGCTTCACATCTGTGTTGCATGGAGTCACCCAACTTCTGGCACCTGTGAACAGGTATTCCAGCCCAGGATGATTGGACTACATTCCACAATTCCTCTGCATTTCTTGGTTTTACCTCAGAAACTGCACCCCACAAGTTTTCTATTGGATTAGGGTCCGGGGATTGGGCTGGCCACTCCATAACTTTAATCTTGTTGGTCTGGAAACAAGATGCTGTTCCCTCGGGTGTCGTTGTCTTGTTGAAACACCCAATTAAAGGGCATTTCCTCTTTGGTATAAGGCAACATGACCTCTTCAAGTATTCTGATGTATTCAAACTGATCCATGATCGCTGGTATGCGATAAATAGGCCAACACTGTAGTATGAGAAACATCCCCATCTCATGATGCTTGCACCACCATGCTTCACTGTCTTCACAGTGTACTGTGGCTTGAATTCAGTTTTTGGGGCCGTCTGACAAGCTGTCTCCGGCCACTAGACCCAAAAAGAACAATCTTGCTTTCATCAGTCCACAAAATGTTGCGCCATTTCTCTTTAGGCCAGTCAATGTGCTCTTTGGCAAATTGTAACCTCTTCAGCACGTCATTTATTTCAACAATACTGTGAGGGCTTTGTGCAGATAGCTTGGCTGCACATAGGCGTCTTCTAATTGTTCCAGTACTCACAGGTAACTTTACACCTTCATTGATCACGCTGGAGCTGATCATTGGCCATTTTGCCTATTCTTCGATCCAATTGACCATTTTTCTTCCACGTCTTTCTAGTTTTGGTTGCCGTTTTAATCAAAGTACGCGATCATTTTAGCTGAGCACCTAATTTCTGTACTGGAACAACCCATCTTTACCCAGATTTTAATCAGATAGAAAATTCTTCACGGTGACCAACCCATGTACAACATTTGCTGTACCTTGGTCCTGCTTAAATAAGGGCAATAATTGCCACCTGTTTTTTCACAGAATGAATGACCTCACTAATTGAACTCCACACTGCTATTATTTTGAACATGTCCATTTCAATTAATGATTCAATTACACAGAATCAGCAGCATACATGTCATGTCTTTTGGTTTTCTATTACACCTACTAGTAAATTAGTTTCCATGTAGAAATATAATTTATATCAAACAGTGATTGATCAGGTTACTGATGTTGGACTGCTATTATTTTGAACACATCTGTATGCCAACTGGGTCTTAGTAGAATTTTTGTTGGGAAAAAAAAACAGCAACACACAGAAGGATGTAAACAAACCTGACAGTGGAAGTATTTAGTCCCATGTATGTCATAAAATATGAGGACTGAAGCGGGGGAGGACAGCTGTAGGCCCTGGGTGACGTGCTACAAGGCAAGCTGTGACATTCAGGTAGTGGCTGTTGTGTAGACACAATCAGACTCTATTTGCTGACAGTCTCCCGCTGATTGTACTGTGTGCAGAGGGCATGGAGAATGGGGCTCATTATTACCCAGCATCCCGCTCTGCGCCAGCTCCTCCTCTATGGCCAGTAGACGGTTATACTTGGCTGTCCTCTCTCCTCGGAGCAGACCTCCCAACTTGATGAACTGTGCACCGATCGCCACGGCCTGCAGAGAAGAGAATGACATTAGAAGGGACCATGTACACTTCTATACATCTCTACAGCCTATGTCTACACACAATCAGAACAGCCTGTGTACATCTCTGCAGCCTGTGTCTACCACACAACCAGAACAGAGAGCAGTGTTCACCTCTGTACATCTCTACAGCCTGTGTCTACCACACAACCAGAACAGAGAGCAGTGTTCACCTCTGCAGCCTGTGTCTACCACACAACCCGAACAGAGAGCAGTGTTCACCTGTGTACACCTCTGCAGCCTGTGTCTACCACACAACCCGAACAGAGAGCAGTGTACACCTCTGCAGCCTGTGTCTACCACACAACCCGAACAGAGAGCAGTGTTCACACACCTCTGCAGCCTGTGTCTACCACACAACCCGAACAGAGAGCAGTGTACACCTCTGCAGCCTGTGTCTACCACACAACCCGAACAGAGAGCAGTGTTCACCTCTGTACACCTCTGCCTGTGTCTACCACACAACCCGAACAGAGAGCAGTGTTCACCTCTGTACACATCTCTACAGCCTGTGTCTACCACACAACCAGAACAAAGAGCAGTGTTCACCTGTGTACATCTTTACAGTCTATGCATGAAACACAACCCATCACAAGAAAGACGTGTACTCTATGCAGCCTGTGTATAGCACACAGACATGAAAGCGCTGCGCACACCTCTATTGTATACAGCTTGTGTATTACACGCAGACACATGTACAAGTACATACTCTCACCAGGGCCAAATCTGGTAGAGATGGGATGAGACAGATAGATGGAACTCGGGCCACAGCAGACTGGAGACCCAGGCAGGGAACTCGTATTTTAATTGTTGAGGGCAGTGAGGGAAGTGACTGGCTTATGAAATGTTCTCCTGTCTGCCTGGAGAGCAGAATTGTGCAGAGATCAGGCCCAGCCACATTCCATAACATTCTAGGGCCCTTCTGATGCGGAATAATGTTCTCACTGTTCAGACATCCCCCGAAACAGTGAGCACCCCCTACAGGTACTCTGTATAGAACCATACCAGATCCACCACGCTGCTCCCTGAACACTCTTCATGTGGACATCCTAGAACAGTCACTCGTTTCTCTCCTGCAAAAACAGAAAGGTACCATTGAAAATTGGACACAGTTTATGGTCAGATACAAAAATAATGGGGTGCTCCTTGTGAGGTTTAGTAGACAGAGATGGGGACATTAGGGGCTACATGTATGAGAGGGAGCCATGGGGGGACCTTGTGTATGAGGTGGGGACACGGGGGGGGGGGGGGGGGTTAAAGTAGCTTGGGCTATGAGATGGGGACACCTGAGGCCCTGTATATGAGATAGGGACACAGGGAGGGCTTGACTATGAGATGGCCTTGGGTATGAGATAGAATCACCAAGGACCTCATGTATGAGTTTGGGACAGCAAAGTCTACTTGTATGAGATGTGGACACTGGAGGGGTGAGTGGGGGGGTAGGCAGCCTCAAGTATGAGGCCGGGACACCGGCGGGGGTTCTTGTGTATGAGGTACTATTTTCCCAGTGTCAGATTGTACTTCACATATATGTAATGTATCCCTTTTATGTAAATATAAAGTTATGACATGTTTAAAGCACAACTCCAGGAAAACAGAAATTTCCACTCTAGCTCAACTTTCATTTAAACTATAACTAAAGGCACAAGTTTTTTAATTTTGGACAAAGTGGAGATGGATTTGAATGCTTGTCTGTGCCCCCCTTAGATAGATTCTGTCCTATTTACCATTATCATTGAGCCCGGGTTCACACCAATGTAGTGCGAGAAACACTGCGAATCCTGTGCATTTCCCGCACCGCATTGCAATCGCATCACGTTCATGCGATCTGGTGGGGGTATCAATGTTAAATTAATGACACCCCGAAACAGATCGTAAAACACCCATACAATGCCATTCAGGTGCGGATTTAAAAAAGGGTCCTGCACATTTTTGATGCAATGCGATTTGAGCCATCCAAAATGTATGGCTCAAATTGCACCGCACATACATTTCCATATAATTCGCACAGGAATGCGGTGCAATTCCTGTGCGAATTACATGCGGTGTCCCGCACTGCATAATGTGAACTTGGGCTGACTGTGAAAGCAAAAGAAAATCCAAAATTTTGGGTTGTCCCCAGAAAAGTAATAGTGGAGAAATCTTCCAATGGGGACACTAGTTCTGGTGCCCTGGGTCCCCAAGGAATTCCATTAATTTCCTCTCACTTCCTGTTTGGCTATGGGACAGGAAGTGAAGGGAAATCTCTGCACTGGGACACAGATAGCAAAAAATAAATCTGACAGGGGTTATAACCCTCTGTTGCTCTATCTAAAATGAAAAAAAAAAAAAAAAAACAGTTTTGCCTGTAGTTCTACTTTAAAACTTTATTTCACAATCTGCCAGCATGAGTGTGTGGTGTCTTCTTGTAAAAAGGCACAAGTCATCCACCCAGAGATTAGGAGTGCCCCAAATAACCATTCTAATGCCCAAGGCTCTGGTGCCTGGACTGTACACGGATTATATCTGTGAGCGCCCTGTGCTCCGGCTGTGGGTGATGTAGTTTCCCAATCAGAGAAGGAATACAGAAAATCCCTTTTCTTTCTTTTTACTGCATGGTTGGCGGACAAAGCGATTACACAGCTTATATTAAGGAAACAGCACAAATGGCCATCAGTGTGGCAATGATCAATAGTAGTCCACAGCGCAAAAGGATAGAGAAGATGCAAAAACTGCGGACTCTGCACAGCCCCCCCAAACCTGGGTAATATGGTCCAACTTGGGTATATAATAAGGCAGGGGTATGTATTGCTGAACAGAAATATGGAACTATACACTGATGACAAAGTGAATGGAGCAAAAAAAGCAGCAACAGAACGACAACTATCCATGATTTATCATTCACCACTGAATGCCTTGCACTGTCTGAAGGATCAGTCAGGGGGTCCACCTAATTTATTCCAGGCAAAAGCCTCAATTTACTAATCCATAATAATTTCTTTCTTGTCCTTTGAGGGACATGGCAAGTCTGTAATGTCAGGTTATACTGCCACCTACAGGAGGATTGGACAATGGCAAACAAAAAAAAACAAACTAGGCCATCCTGAACCTTTGCCTCCTAATCTCACCATTGTGCTGGTGCCATGTACATTCCAAGCAGGTGTAGACAATTGGCAAGCAGATTTCCTAAGCTGGCAGTACTTGGAATCAGGGTAGTGGGCCCTTCAGGTGTTCCAGAACCTATGCTGCAGGTGGGGTTTCTTCAGGTATAGGGATCCTCTAGTGCAGTGTTTCTCAATTCCAGTCCTCATGGACCCCCAACAGGTCATGTTTTCAGGATTTCCATTATTTTGCACAGGTGATTTGATCAGTTTCACTGCCTTAGTAATTACCACAGCTGTTTCATCTGAGGGAAATCCTGAAAACATGACCTGTTGGGGGTCCATGAGGACTGGAGTTGAGAAACACTGCTCTAGTGGAAACCATGAATGCTCTGTGAGATCAGCGCACACAGTTTATGCATTACCTCCCCTAAAACGTCTTCCTTATCTGTTTCACATGCTCAAAATGGAGGGCATTCCTGTGATTCTTTTTGCTCTGTACTGGCCCAGGCTGATGTATTATTCTCACCTAGTAAGACTCCTGGTAGATGCTCTGTGGGCACTGCCAGATTGTATGGATATTCTATTTCTAGGGCTGATTTGCCATCTTGCTTTAGCCTGCGATACCTACAGCGCTCAAAGCTAGAATGTCTACTTCCTGTAAGGTCTATCAAAGGACATGGAAGAAATCCTTCACTTGATGTGAGTCCTGGGTCTTCCACCCTAAGAGATTCTAAATATCACAAAGCATCTCCTTCCAGAAGCAGGGAATGAACCAGCATTTAGTCTAACATCTTGGGTAAGATCTATCCTGTCTCAGGGACCATTGACCTGTCACTCCCCTTTGTGTACAGGAGGTCTCCCATGTAGCTGTTCCTGACTTCATAAGACCTGAATCTGCTTCTCTCTGCACTTCAGAAACCATGTTTGAACCTGTTCCTTCCTCTTTTTACTCTCACCCACCAGATGATATTTCTTGTAGCCATCACTTCTGTGATGTGTCTGAATTGGCATTCTTATCCTGCAAAAAACCCTTTATCATTTTGCATAGGAAGGTGATGTTGAAGCCCAGGACTTCCAACGGTAAGACTGCCATCTGGTCTTCTGGTTACATGTTCTCTAAGTGCCACCAGGTGCATGTGTCGGCCTCCTCTGATGCTGACTTTGGGCATAAACTGCTGATGGCTCTAGACCTGCAGGCACTCCAGTTTTCTGTTTTCATGGACCTTTTAGTAATTGTTTGCTGTGTTGCCCACCCCTCAGTTGGACTGCTTTTGGATGTCCCAAAGATAAGACTTCTTGTATACCTCAACAGCTGAGAAAGAAAACAGGACTTTTGTACTGACCATAAAATCTTTTTCTTGGAGTTCATTGAAGTCCTACTCCTCTTTGGTTATGATCATGTTCTCGGTACAGCTTTGTAAAAAAAAACTGAGGCATGCTGGTAGTGGGAGGGGTTATCCGAGGCTGGACACTATTTCCTGCCAGTGGCTGTATAACCTGAAATGTAAAAACTTTGGGGGAAGATTTACTAAAACTGGAGCACTCAGACACTGGCTACCATGCACAGCTGCACCAGTTTCTAACTTCAGCTTATTCATTTAAGCTTTAACAAAACCTGGAAGCTGATTGGTGGATTTACTGAGACTAGAGAGTGCAAAATCTGATGCAACCCTGCACAGAAACCAATGTGTGCCCCAAGAAAAATATATTTTGGTCAGTACAAAAATCCTATTTTCAGGGCTGGGAGCAAGTCCCATGACTGATACAAATAGAACATGTGTTGTAGCTTTGTGAATTCAATAATGTGCATGCAATTATCTCTGTGGATTGCAGATTCTTCCAATTATCCCTCACCTTACTGGATTTGCCACATATATAACATGTCCTGACTGCACTTGGCACTGCATTCAGAAAAATGTTACCAAATTGGTGAGTGATCCTTCTTTGTTCTAACTGACCTGTTGCCTAAATCTCTTCTGAAGGACCCTGAGAAAGTGCAGCTAGTGTGTTCCTTGGTTCCAGCCCCACCCTTCCTCTCGCACTACTGCAGCCTTTTCCACCTATATTGTAGCACAAGGGGAAGGCTGCATCACACAGGGTGATGCGATAAAAGCTACACCACTGTTAAAAGGAATGCAGCTGGCATGAAGTATATGAAAGTGGTCTTAGGGTTAAATTTGGCATTTTCTTTTTTTGGGGCAGTTGAGATGTCTCCAGGATAAAATTGGTAGGTCAATGATTTTCCTATTCCCGATATTATCTGTCTGAGCATTTCCTCACACCTGTCTTTGAAACAGCCCCTTCCCAGTGTGAGGTCACTCTCAGTATTGATTTTGTCTGCTGGAAATGATCCCGAGGATTATGTGACCCCCATCCTAAGACTGTACACAGGTGCTTACCAGGGAGATTGCCGATTCATATTTGAGGAGGAAAAACAATTCACCTCTTAGTTGGGACTCTCTACGATGCTGAAGTGGACCTTATGCACCAAACCAGGCAGACGTGCTCTCTCTCATCTTCTGTCAGTGCTGCAATCCCATCAAAAAGGTCATTTGCTGCTTTGTGGAGATTCCAACATGGTTCTAAACCCAATGTTAGACAAATCTCCCGCAGTGCCTCTTCCTCTTCGCAAATATACACAAAACCCATAACCTTGTGGATGTGTGGTGGGAATTTCATCCCTCCTCCAAAGATTTCACCCATGCCTCTCATCATAATAGTAATTCAAGAATAGACCGTATTTTTGTGACTCTAGCCTTTCTAGCTGCAACTTGCTCCAACTCAGATCCACACACTATCTTGGTCGGACCATGACCCTGTTTTGGCATGTTGTAAAGTATCTTTACAATGTCCTCGTGCTCCAGCGTGGTTTCTCAATGACTCCCTGTTATCTTTCTCTCATATAGTGGAGGACATCAAAAGCCATTCTCTAGACTACTTTCAAAACAATAGGCATTCAGTTGCTTCCCTTATGACATTATGGGAGGCTTATAAAGCGGTGATTCGGGGCCATATTCAATTATCCTCCCTACATTGAAGGGAACGCTTGCAGCATAAAGCCACTCTAGAGTGGGACCTGGAGAGAGTGACACTACTTTTCAAACAATCTCCTTCCGTGTGTAAAGTGCAACGTGTCGAACAAGCTGCGCACAGACCTTAATCTTTGCCTGACAGATGAGGCAGAACCCCAAGTTCGTTGGCCACATCAAAAGTTTAATGCAAACGGTAATAACATAGGTACCATGTTAGCCAGTCGACTCCAGTCGTTTGTTCCTAAGCTACATTTTTATACCTTAAAGACAATGACACACTTACGTACATTCAATCCTTCTCATATAGTGGATGAATTTCAATTTCATCTAGCTAAACTACATGCAGGTATGTGAGAGACTCCCACAGAGGTTATCTCTGATTTTTATTTTTTTTTTTTCTTTTACATAAGACGCCTCTTCCAGAAATAACCACTGATCAACGATCCATTTTGCACGCAGATCTCACTGAGAATGAGATTTGACACCCTATTATGGAACTGAAGCCCCATAAGCGAGCGGGACCAGATGGCTTTACAGCCCTTTTTATAAGAAGTTTATTGATATAATGGCCCCTATCCTAACTCAGACTTTTTACCAACTTAAACATGACGGCCAACTGTCTGAAAGGTTCAAAGCACATATAGTAATGATCCCTAAGCCTGGCAAATTATCACCCCATCTCACTACTCAACATAGATATTAAAATCCTAACAAAGACCCTGGCTACTAGGTTGAATTGTATAATATCCATGGTAATCCATAAAGACCAAGTGGGCTTTATGCCCCAATGCCAGGCTTCCAACAATATAAGTCAAACAATTTTGCTTAGTCATTTTGCCCACCGACGCTCCCAGGAACTGATGCTTCATGAACAAAGCATTTGACACACTATCTTGGGTATACTTACGCATGGCCCTACAGCGTTGGGTTCTAGCAGAAGGCTTCCTGAAGTGGATTTCCACTTTATATAGTACTCCATCAGTGATAGTTCAGTATCATGGAATACAATCTACTCAGTTCCCCATACAAGGAGGAACCTGCCATGGGTTCCCCCCCCTCTTTTTTTTTTTATTTTGGCGCTCGAGTCCCTGGCCATTTGTATCCGGCTGCACCAAGATATCAAAGGCCTGGAATTGACTGGAATCCAATATAAAACCACTCTTTTTGTGGATAACATCTTGCTATATTAACGTCACCACTTATATCCCTCCCGAACTCACAAGTGCTCCTTAAACACGTTGCAGAACTCTCTGGCTTATGTGTGAATCATGTGCAATCTATGGCGATTAATGTTTCCTTGCCCCCAGCAGCCCAGGCTCATTTCCCTTTTCAGTGGTTCCGCACACTGCCGTACTTGGGGGTCTTCCCAACTCCTACATATGATTCCCTTTACCAAGCTAATATCCTACCATGACTCCACCAACTGCAAGCAATACTTTGCTCCTGGAACACCACGTGTCTTTCCTGGTTCATTCGGGTCCATGCCATTAAAATATCCTATTCGCCAAAACTGCTTTATCCCTTCCATGTCCTTGCAATTTGCATACCTTCCCATATTTTATGCATATCGCAAAGACAACTCTTAAATTTTAGTTGGGCATCGGGACGCCCCAGCCTATCTAGACATTTACTCTTCTGTCCTAGAATTCGAGGTGTTAAACTAAGCCCTAACTGTAAATCATCATCTTTGGCAAATAACAAATATATGCAGGACGAGGATGTGTATCCCTACGCACCATCTAGTCAATTAATGAATCTAAAATATAACCTTTATTCAGATATATATAAAAATGTATGCTCAGCTGTAATTAATGCCTATTGGAGTGGAATGTACTGCACACAACAATATGACTGGATACCATTGCAATTATTACATCCAAATGGTTAATAACACCAGACCAAATCAAATACCATACCGTTTTTAGAAGTGACGGCATAAAAAGAAAACACTGTAGTTTGATCATCAGCTTGAATATATAATCTCGATTAATGAAATGGAGTTACCCCATGGATAAAACTAATTAGCTAGTATAATCTGTCTTGCTACAGATATGTAATACGGGTACACTCATCCACAGGCCTAAATGTCAGCCTCTCATGGACAAGCCCCATACATCACCATAGCCAGTCAAAAATACCTCACTCTCTTGACGAATGCAAATGATGCACTTTAAAATGCAGTACAAACCTCTCCAAAAAAAGGGGGGGGGGATGAGGAGTAAATACCATGTGCATTCAAAAAGTGCTCCCAAAGAAAAAAAAGAAAAACTCTACAGGTTTCACTCCAAAAAACAGAGCTCAGTTTCTTGGAGCGAAACATATACAGTTTTTCTTTTTTTTTTCCTTTGGGAACACTTTTTGAATGCACATGGTATTTACTCCCCCCCCCCCCCCCCCCCCTTCCTTTTTTGCATTAATTACAGCTGAGCATACATTTTATATATATCTGAATAAAGGTTATATTTTAGATTCATCAATTGGCCAGTTAGTGTGTAGGGATATGCACCCTCGTCCACCATAGATCTCTAGAATTCGAGGTGACCTGGGAATCCCACATATTCAATACTACCATGTGGTTGCCCAAATTACAACTCTGATACAATATTTCTCGGGATGCAACCTCCCATTGTGGGCTATGCTGGACGTTTTAGATGTACATCCCATACTGTTGTCCTTAATCATTTGGCTTCCTCCATCTATACGGCCTAAATCTCTCAATCCTATCCCATACACTACAGATTTGGGACTCTTGTAAGTTCTCAGCCGGCCTAATGTCCCCCCACCTACCCTTGTTAAAAGAAATTTGACTGCCTTCTATTTCCTCCGGGGTCAATGGATAGAGCCGCCTTTAGATGGAGGATTACCCATGGTAATACCACCATATATTCAATGCTGGTGGCAAAAGGCTTGCATACGTTTGCACAATTTCAGGTACCCAACCGTATTCCCTCAAACGAGCTGTTTTTCTCTATCCCACTTTATCAGACCTCTAATACGCAACGCCACCTCTCCAAGAACTTTGACCAGTTTTGAATTCCTCTATAAATCATCTGCTACTACAAAAAGGGAAACTTGTTCTCCATTTATAAAGCCCTCCGAAACCACATTTCTGAATCTCTACACACCTATTGGGCTCAATGGGAAAAGGACTTGTAGGCACCCAGTCCTCAAGAACTAAGGTTTCCTGTATGGAAAACAGTTTCAAAATGCTACTGCAATATACAGGCCCTTGAAAAGTCTTACAAGGTCCTCACCCGGAGAGGCCCTCCTACATAAAGACAGCTGAAGCTCCCCGGCAATCTCATGCTCTGATTGCGTTTATCTTTATGGCTACAAAACAGACCATAGCCTGTGCGTGGAGGACGCCGGGTCTCCACTTCGAGGAGATTAAATCCAGACTCCCAAGAATTCCTTGTTAACAAAAAATTGACAGCAATATTGGAAGACAAGCATGACAAATTTCTTACCATCCTGGTCTCTTGCTTCACAGCACGATTGCTTCATCTTTGACTCTTGCACACCAGACTTCCTTCTACTTGTTTCCCCTGCTGCTACCCCATGCTGAAATCACCCCCCCCCCCCCCCCCCACACACTTTTTATTTTCCTTTCTTGCTCTTCCAGTGTCTTTATTTGGTGTGACTCACCAGAGGGTCATTTTTACCTGTGACCTAAGGGCCTTTCTTTCCTCTTAAGTAACTTCTCCTTTACATTACTGGGTCAAAATATCCCCTTACAACACCCAGACACCCCCTTTTCTTTTTTCTACATAATTCTAATTTTATTCTCATTCTTCCTGACCAGTGTTTTCAAGTCCCACTCTCTCTTTTATTAACTATTTGATATCTACCTCCGAGACCAGGTTCCATGATCTTTTCCCAGTGATGTATCCCTGTAACCTTTGGTTGCTGCTATATTGTTATCATATAGAGTATAACCTTTCTTATGTTTTTCTTACAGTTACGGTTTTCTGACTAGCCGCTGTGTGGGCTCATACCTTTTATATATGCTTTATGTTCTTACTTTGTAAGAATACTCTTTCAATAAAGCTCTTTGGTACCAGAAAAACAATCCTCCATCTCCTATTGGGAGTTACCTGACATTAAACACATTTCCACATATCACTTTCAGTGGGTGGTCTTTTCTCACCTTCCATTAGCTGGATCCCTGTCAGCAGGTCAGTAATTGTTGTCTGGTTGGTGTATTTGAGGATGGCTCCAGAACATTGGATAGGGTCACCACATGGCAGGCTGGACTTGGTTCTTGCTGCAACATCTGCGATTAGATAACATCTGGAGCCCACAGTTTTCCCCAGAGTCTCCCACTGTGCAATATCCTGGGCAAACACAAACAAGTCTGAATATTCTGCACCTTCATCAGCCAACTTCACCCATATCTGATATTTTCCAGATGAGTGGAGGCTGTTATAGTCGCAAAGAGAGGAAACTCTAGATTAAGGAAAGAGGTCGGATAATGTTTGTCACATTAAAGACAGTCATGTCATCTCCAGCAAACATTCTATAAATGTCTGAAAGAAGTCTTCAGGCTAAAAACGTAGGGCAGAGGTTTTGGGTACTGATCTCACACCCTGTTGGCTCACATTGGGCGCTAATGTTTTATGCATAGTTGGCTGGCAATTTTACTTTACTTTTTAAATAAAAGTGTATGCTAATCTTTGTACTGCTGGAGTTTCTCGTTCATTTTTGGGATACTCATGTGACGGCAAACTCTATGGTATATGTTAAACTGAGTTTTACCTCTGCAGCTTCCCAGCGGCATCTAATAAGAGGATCTAGAGGACATCTGCCAGGGATGACCTAGGTGTCTTTTATATATCAGGCATTTAATTACCTCATTTCCTTTGAGGTCAACTGGCCATAGATGGATCAAATCTCGGCCCATTCAGCAGGGACCAGCTGAGATTAAATCCAGCTATGGCCATACTGAAGTCGATCCATCAATTGACTTCAGTACAACCAGCCTGTTGGATTTTTTGACATGCACATACTGTCGTCAGAACATAATAGCGCTGCGGGAGGGATTCCCCCCATCAACACAATCAGTCAATTTTCTTTCCACCAACCAGAAAAATGCATCATCTAAGGCTTGTCTTATTGCCTGCACTTCAGGGGGGGGTCACCATATATCTTAAATCTCGAGACAGTAAAGATTTAGTTCTCTCACTTCAAGAACTGCATCTTTTTGAAGATTTTAATGATGGTATATTAAAAGAGAAGTATGGTCTTTTTTTTTTTTCCCCCTCAAATTATACTTACCTAGGTGGATGCAGCATTGGTCCCCCGCCAGCTCTAAGTGTGCGGCCACTGTGAGCAGAGAGCAGTGACTGTCAATCACTGCTGTCTGCTCTGTCCCATCAGCGCTTACTGGAGCGCTGGGCTGTGGAGGGGGAGGGAGCGGCTGGCTCAGGCTCTCAGTAGATCGCTGAGAAGCTGAGCCAGGTGCCGCTCCAGACTCTGGGGTGGATCTCAACTTTGAAGTCCGTATCTTTCCCCAGCCTGGACAGGCTGAGTGACGTCAGCCAACAGCTTTCAGCTTGCTGTCGGCTGCAAACAAGTCACAGGAGTGCAGAGTGAACTGCACTCCTATGATCCACAGGAGAAGTACAGCCCAAAGAGCTTTGCCTCTACTTCTCTTTTAATGTGTCTTCTGGATGCTGTATATTTAGACTTTACTAACATGGACTCAAACTCCATATTGATGGCCATAGTTTTGGAAAGGGATGTGTGACAAGCTCCTATAGGTGTGATGGCCGGGGGTTCACAGACTTTTGCCTATATATAGTGTTTGTTACATTGGGAAGGTTATCTTATAGGTTGATGTACCTACAAATAAAATTAAGGATTCTCTATAGAAATACTGTACGAGGAGCATTCAAGTCAAACTGGGATTTCTAATTTTACAGGTATAAAAAGGGATGGTAGCGCGCTGGTACTATGTGCAGTAATAAGGGGCAAGTGTGTCCTATTACTGATAAGCGGCGTATATGTCGCGGGCCAGTCCAGAGATCATTAATCAAGATGGCAGACAACAATGTTACTGCATGAATGGGACAGTGTGTGGTGATGAGGTTTCTTGTGAATGAAGGCGTAAAACCCACGGATATCTACAGAACACTTCTAGCACAGCACAGTGATGAGACGCTCAGCCGCAGTAAGACATCTGAATGGTGTAAAAGTTTCAAACATGGCCAAACATCCATCAGTGATGATCCTGGCCATGGTGGTTCCCAGCCCACAGCAGTCATTCCTGTGAACATTCAGCGTGTGGAAAGCCTGATCCTGGAAAATCGATGCATAACCTGTTGTTAAATTGCACAAGAGACGAATCTTTCTGTGGAACACAATGATGACAAAGTGAAGCAGGCTGTCCTAGGATGGTTCAGGCATACTGACAAATCTCTTTCTATGCTGAACCTTTCCAGGCATTAGTTAAATGCTGGGATAAGTGTATAAATGTAGCAGGGGAGTATGTAAAACAAATAAATGCAGTTTCCACTCCTTAAAATTTGTTCTTTAAAAAAAAAAAAAAAAAAACCTCAAATCTCCCAGTTTGACTTGAACAACCCCCGTATGTTCACATGGGTCATTGGCCAGTATTTAGAAGGGATGTTACAGTCGGTCAGCACTAGTAATCTTACTGATTATAATTTGTGGCTGAAGGAAATGAGTGTAGAGCCTTTAAGGAGAGGCTTACCTCCTTCCTCAGAGGGTCCACTAACGCTATGACAGCGGGATGCCGGCTAATGATATCCACGTATACATCCACCATCTCCTCGGGACTCTTCCATGCGCCACTTATGATTTCATATTTGCCTTTGTTCTAAGACGAGATGGAAATGAGGAAAATGTGTTTTGCAGAGAATGTGTGTAATAAGGACAGAGGTCAACGATGCTAAAGGGAAGCCAAATTTAACAAAAATAAAATCTGCAAACACTTTCAATTAGGCAAAGCGATCGGCTACTTACGTAGTCCATTAGTTCGTGGGCTGCGCAATTTATGGCTAAGTAGACGTCTGTTCCCAGTTCTAGGCCAAGCTGTTCACAGGCTTCCTGCATTAAATCCAGAGGTTGATCTATGCGGTCACCTGCTAATACCAGACAGCCCAGTGCAGACACGCTCTTAATACCCGACTGCTGGAATTAAGCAGAGAAAAAAAAAAAAAAAAAAGCTGTTAAAACACAAAAGCACATCACCTCTTCCTCCCCCCACTAAGGGCCTAACAGGATCTTGACATTTCACAAATGATGTGTTTACTTCTACGAGGTGATGGAACACTGCTACAATGGATTCACTTATGTGGAATTGCAGCCAAGAATAAGAGAAAATATTTGATTGTTTGGGAAGATTCATCAGAATGTTTTATCAGTGTGCATCATTCCAGGTTCAAGAGAAGCATCTGCACCGTCAGACATAAAACACGCTAAGGGCAACATTGTATAGGTGGGGGCAAAGAAACACACGAGTGACAGCAGAAAACTTTTTTTTTTTTTCTAATATCTCTCCGTTTGTCCTAAGCATGTTTAAATCTTACAGTTGCAGACTCATCACCTTTCCTGGACGTCTATTCCAAGCATCAACTACTCTTTTGGTAAAATACTTCCAAAGGTTAGTTTTGAACTTTTTTTCCTGCTAGTTTGAGGTTCCCATGTTTTTGAGCTTAGCATCATAGTTAACCACTTGTCTACCAGGCACTTTCATCCCCTACCTGCCAGGCTAATTTTCAGCTTTCAGCGCTGTCGCACTTTGGTGCATGACTGTGTAACCGTCATTCACCCATATGACATTTTTATATTTTTTTGAGACACATGCAGGTTTCTTTTGGTGGCATTTAATCACTGCTGGGTTTTTAATTTTTTGCTAAACAAAAAAAGGTTTTCTTAGTTTTGGTTATAACATTTTTTTAAATAAGTAATTTTTCTCCTTCACGGATGTGCGTTGATGAGGAGGCACTGAAAGACAGCACTGATAATCAGGGGACTAGATGTCTACTCTGAAGATTGCAGTTTGTCAGCTCTGCTCATGCACTGTCAGTGAAGGAGAAAAATTACTTATTTAAAAAAATGTTATAACCAAAACTAAGAAAACCTTTTTTTGTATATCAGAAAATTAGAATATTGTGAAAAGGTTCAGTATTGTAGACTGTCACACTCTACATGTGTTTTGAGGTAATTAGCTGAGTAAAGGTTTCCTGAGCCTTTAAATGGTCTCTCAGTCTGGTTCGGTAGTTTACACAATCATGGGGAAGACTGCTGTCTTGACAGTTGCCCAGAAGACAGTCATTGACACTCCACAAGGAGGGTAAGTCACAAAAGGTCATTGCTAAAGAAGCTGGCTGTTCACAGAGTGCTGTATCCAAGCATATTAATGGAAAGTTGAGTGGAAGGAAAGTGTGGTAGAAAAAAAGTTGCACAAGCAACAGGGATAACCGCAGCCTTGAGAGGGTTGTGAACCAAAGGCCATTCAAGAATTTGGGGGAGATTCACAAGGAGTGGAGAACAGCTGTGTAAGTGCTTCAAGAGCCAACACACACAGACGCATTCCTTGTGTCAAGCCACTCCTGAACCAAAGACAACAACATAAGCATCTTACCTGGGCTAAGGAGAAAAAGGACTGGACTGTTGCTCAGTGGTCAAAAGTCCTCTTTTTGGATGAAAGTAATTTTTGTATTTATTTGGAAATCAAGGTCCCAGAGTCTGCAGGAAGAGTGTAGAGGCACAGAATCCAAGTTGCATGAGGTCCAGTGTGAGGTTTCCACAGCCAGTGATGATTTGGGGAGCCATGTCATCTGCTGGTGTTGGTCCACTGTGTTTTATCAAGTCCAAAGTCAGCGCAGCCCTCTAGCAGGATATTCTAGAGCACTTCATGCTTCCCTCTGCTGACCAGCTTTATGGAAATGCCGGTTTCATTTTCCAGCAGGACTTGGCACCTGCCCACACTGCCAAAAGTACCAATACCTGTTTTAATGGTCATGGTATCACTGTGCTTGATTGGCCAGCAAACTCACCTGACCTAAACCCCATCCAGAATCTGTGGGGTATTGTTAGGAGGAAGATGAGACACCAGACCCAACAATGCAGATGAGCTGAAGGCCGCTATCAAAGCAACCTGGACTTCCATAACACCTCAGCAGTGCCACAGGCTGATCGCCTCCATGCCACTCCGCATTGATGCAGTAATTCATGCAAAACAAACTCTGACCAGTATTGAGTGCATTCTGTACTGCATGTGGACACACTTTTCAGTAAACCAACATCTCTATATTAAAAATATTTTTTTTTGGTTTGCTTTATGTAATATTCTAATTTTCTGAGATACTGAATTTTGGGTTTTCACTAGCTGTAAGTCATAATCATCAAAATTAAAAGAAAGAAATGCTTCAAATATATCACTTTGTGTGTAATGAATCTATATAATATATGAGTTTCACTTTCTCAATTGAATTACTGAGGTAAATGAACTTTTTGGTGATATTCTAACTTACTGAGATGCACCTGTACATACACTAGGGCCAATTTAGACAGGAGCCAACTAATCTATGAACACGTCTTTTGGAGTGTGGGAGGAAACAGAGTACCTGGAGGAAACCCTAGTGCTGCCAAGCAGAAGTGCTAACCACTAAGCTACTGTGCTGCCCACTAATGTCCGTTCTTTTTTCCAGGAACTCTCTTGTCAGTCTTTCTAAGGTAAAATAAATGTTTCGCAATATGGAGATCCAAAGTGTGCAGAATGACCATCACTATGAGGGCTATGACATCATTCTTTTGGAAAGGTCAGACAGTGGCACACCTCATCAGCTGGTGTTATCTCATACAATTATTGGGAATGGAAATAAGAAGAGCTGAACCCCAGGAGCAATTGAGGGGCTGGGCCCATAGGAGGAGAGTTCTATGTACTCACCACATTCTTACTTATATAGCGTCCGTCTGCTTTATTATCTGTGCCTGAAGGGACAAGGCCAAGTCCACGGCCTGCAGAGAAAGACCACAGTGTGTCAGAAACACATTATTCAAGACAACAGACTTGCTGCACTCAACAGCCCTGGAGGAACTACAAGTGCCAGATACATAGAAGCAGAATAAAGATTTCCTCAGGTCATCCTGGAACTGGAAGTCCACCCAAACATCTAATAGTGACGGTATGTCATAAAAGGTGTACTCCACAGATGTGCCGAACCCCAAAGCCCCCTCTTCCTGGCTTAGAAATACAGAAATGTTCTATAAAAACAGATGCAGTCATGGTGCCCCTCCTAGCATAGCGAAGGGTTTTGTTTTTTTTTTTATATTAGTATATGTAACTCATTTTAAATCTGAACTCTAACCTTCTCTTCCATCTTGCACAGTTGTACTGGCTCCTGTCATGGACTGAAATTACTTACTGATTTCACTGCACACTGTGAGCTTCTCATAATGTGCATTAGAAGCTGCAGCAAGTTCAGTAAAGCTCTTCTTATTTCCTAGCTGCAGGATGTCCTATATCATCTAGCTCCATCATCTTCCTCCCCAGTCAGACACTCCCTTTCATTCATTGGATTTAAAAGTGAGTCTAAAGGTTTATTTTTTATTTAAGAAAAAATAAACTTGTCTAAACTTACCTGATGTGTGCAGTGGTTTTGCACTGAGCAGCCTGGATCTCCTCTTCTCGTGTCCCCCGCAGGCTGTCCCTGCCACTCCCTCCTGTTGGGTGCCCCCACAGCAAGCATTGCTATGGGGGCACCCACTGCTTCATGTGTTCTTCACACGAAGCTGCATTTGGGCCCTGCCTCCTCTCCCTTCTCATTGGCTCCCTGGCTCCAGCTTCTGTCTCCGCCAATGAGAAAAGTGAGTACTGGGATAGCCAGGGGTGATGCTGCATACAGAAGGTTTTTTACCTTCATGCATAGAATGCATGAAGGTAAAAAACCTTGAGCCTTTAGAACCAATTTAATTTCTGTAAATCAGAGTCTTAGCATCACATTTAGGTGATACCTAGGCCAGTCTGAATGCAAATGCAGCCTTTTTGGAAACGACCACTCTTTAAAATGCATTGATGGGTGGATGTCAGTCTAATCACAAGAAGAGCAAGCCTTTGTTCACACTCTCTGTTTACATGTAAAATCAGTATTCTGTGCTACAAAAAATTGCTTAGACCCCCCAAACATATATTTTATTTTAAAGCAGAGGCCCTAGTGAATAAAATGTTGGGTGTTGCAATTTTTTATGTCCAACGGTATTTGCGCAACAGTTTTTCAAGCAAAATTTTTTGGTGGAAAAATGCACTTTAATTTCAGTGCACAAAAACACAATTTACTACTCAGTTACACCGAGTAAATAGATACCAAACATGTCAAGTTTTAAAATTATGTATGCCTGTGCAACAGCTACAAACTACATGCATTCTGTTATCCATAGGCTATGCTTTAAAAGCCTTTACAGGTTACGACTTAAGATGTACACAGGAGGTCTGGTGCTTAAATTACTGCCCTCGATCTGACGTTCGCAGTGATACCTCACACGTATGGTGGGGATCTCCGTTTACATATGTGTGCGGGATTCTTTGTGTGTGAGCACGGAGGGGCACTTTAAAATAAAGGTTTTTCAAAATTTTTACACTGTCCCTTAAATTTTTTTGGATCACTGTTATTGTTATCACAAGGAATGCAGTAAATATCCAGTGTGATAGCAATAGGCAATGACATTTCCATTAGACCCCAGATCTCTCCTCTGTTCCTAAAAGCTTCAGGATCGTACGCAGATCAGGATCGTACGCAGATCAGGATCGTACACAGATCAGGATCGTACACAGATCAGCATAATCTGATGCTTTTTTCAAACCACTAATGGTTAGTTTACAACTGGTGATACTAGAGGTGATAAAATGCTCATTGCTTCCGGTTTCTTAGACCATAGAGATGACCGGGGCTGTGCCGGTTCCCCAATTAGCTTGTAAATGAAATCCAGTGGCTAATTAGGATTGCTTTTAGAAGAAAGCAGACCACCGACTGAAAAAACAATACGGGGAGGGTGATGGCAGCCGCAGCCATCAACCCAGTATAACATCTCAATACATACTGGTATGTCACTGAGCTGCAAGTGGTTAATATTTGCATAATCCCAGGAGCCAGTCCACTGCTTGCATCAGTGCAGAGTGCTCTTGAGTGAAAGAAGGCAGGATGCTGTGATGTTTTGAGGAAGCTATGTACATAGCTCCCCCAGCCCCTCCCTCCAGTCATGATCTGCCTGCATTGCCTAGAGAACAGAGACCCAGTAATGACATCATGGGATCCAAAATAAGGTATGAAATTAAAAAATGGAAAGGTTTTATTGAAAAACTTCATTTGCATATTGAAAAGGAGGAACCAGGTAGGGAAAAATATAAGTGGATTAAACTTCATGTTTAAAGAATAAGTTAACCTTTGGAACACATTACATCTTCTGCTAATTTTTAGGGGGAACATGTAACATGTTTTTATAGCCGCAACCGCCCCCCCTCCCCCTGACAGATAGATAATACGGGGAGAGGTCTCCCTGTACTGTCAGATTTGAAAACATCGTGGCTGCGTCATTCATTCATGGACTTCTGTGAAATAATGAACTGCAAGTCCCGGCAGCTTTAGCGGCTGTCAGCTTGTAGTTTTCAATGAACTACCACGGTGCTGTGGGATGCTGTGGTAGTTCATTGAAGCTTCCCATCAGAATATCTGCTTGACAGTACATCCCGTACAGCAAGCAGATATTCTGACAGGTCTGCAGGAGACCTGCATGGCATCATTGATCTACTGATCGCTGGTGCAATGCTTTCCAGGCTCCTTTGGACAAACATTATAAATGCACATTTTTTTACCTGCATGAATGAATGAATGATGCAGCCATGTGGGCGGAGCCCAACACGGCCGCGCTGTTTTCAAATCTGACAGATACGGGGAGAAGTTTCCTCGTATTATCTGTCAGAGGGAGGAGGGAATGGCAGGTGCGGCTGTGGTATGGGTACATATTACATGTTCCACCCTAAAAAACAGGGGGAACATGTTCCAAAGATGAACGTATCCTTTAAAAATAAGGATATTTGTGCTCTCTTTTCAGCTCACAGGAAGCAACAAGGCCACAGCATTTCTAGCAGGATCAACAGGTATTTTCTGAACTTCCTGAAAATGCTTAGCCTGAAAAAGAAAAACTATTTTCAACCACCACACCTAAGAACTGGTGTCTTCACTTTTTGGGTTCAGAGCCACATCAATCGCTCTTATTGTAAAGATCCCCTTCATATACTGTTGTTATACTTGTCACTTTATTAGCACACCCTTTTTAATATATAATAGAAAGAAAGGTAAATAAAAAGGATATTTTGAATATCAAGACAGCCCCCAGACGTACGCCGTCCTCCCTCTCTCTCCACCAATAAGCCTCTCTGTAAAGGTCAGTACATGCAAATGTGCCATACAAGGAGCAGACTTTCATCTTCATATAAACAAAGTGAATATTTCTCACACATCACACTTTAACTCTTCATTACCCTGAAAAGATTCATCATTTTACGTGGCACTGCTGACAAAATACATCATTTTGGTGTAAGATAATATATAATAAGGGTTGCTGTAAACTCCTTGATGCAATTGTCCTATGGAGGAGGGTTGGGCCATTTTAACCACTTGCCCTTCAGAGGATTTTCCCCCCTTCCTGACCAGGCCATTTTTTGCGATACGGCGCTGCATTACTTTAACTGACGATTGCGCGGTCATGCAAAGTTGCACCCAAATGAAATGTATGCAAATGGAGAAATAGAAAAAGGGCGCACCGACTGTTTCTCCATTTGCATCCAGTGTATTTGGACCAGCAAGCAGTGCATATTCCAGAAAATTCCAGAACACTCCTATTGGGTCTACTGAGCCTTTTCCTAGCGCAGGAGAAAAGTGTTTGTTGTGTTGCAAATGAAATGTATATCCTTTTTTTCCCCACAAATGGAGCTTTCTTTCGGTGGTATTTGATTGCCTCTGCGGTTTTTATTTTTTGCACTACAACATCCATCCAGAGCAGTGTGCCCGAGCCGACAGGCAGGAGGACTGTTAGTAAACAAAGCAGTCCTCCCCCTCGGAGATGCTTGGTAACCACCGGGCGACGGGGGGGGGGGGGTATTCACCGGCTGGGACCTGGTGATTGACAGCTGCAGCCATGAATGGTGGTGCGGGTAGGGCACACACCCCCTACCCGGAAATACAAAATCATGTATATATACGTGATTTTGCACACCCCCTGCCACCCTGTAGCAGGGTTCAAGTTTAGAAGAGCGCAATTGTCTAAAATGTCTTTATATGCTGTAGTATTAACAGTACCCTTCACTGTAAACATCTGAACTCAGATACTTTGGAGGGTGGTTTACGTAATTTGGGACATACAGTGTATCTATACATAATATCTGGATCACCTCTTGGGTGTCTGTTTTCCAATCTAATCAAGTCCCTTTTCCCCTACCCTTACTGTGAGAGATTTTCCTCCCCTTTTATTATTCAGGTCTCTCCATATGTCCGCTGCAACTGATAAATATGTAAATATAGGCTAGGACTGTACCTGCATGTCCCCGCACAGTGACATATGTAAATATAAATGAGGTGGTGTCTAACCTGCTGAGCAGTTAGGCCCGGTCGAGGGACCATCATGATTTCCTTCATAAGGTTCAGCTTTCCTGGAGAACACTTGCCGTAGCTCAGCAATGTAATCAGAGGGGTTGGTATCGCCATCTTGCTGGGCGGCTGTGTGAGGAAGACCACAGATAACAGAAATGTCATTTCCACAATTTAACACTAAGTTCCTAGCTCTGGATCTGTTGCTGCTTGACTGTAGGAAATAAATAGCTGCTGAGGAGGACAAAGGGTTATTAACAGTTACACAGTTGCCTATCAAGTTTAATCTTTTCTTTTGGCAAAGAAGGAAATAAAAAATTTAAAATTCCCCCTTTCCACCCTCAAAGACCAAACCAGACACCTTTGGGAATTAGTCCTGAGCTCAATGCAGCTTGTTCACTAGTGTAGGACAATTATGTGAAATGGACTAAAAGAGCTGCACCATTTTTTCATTCAGTGACAGTGCCCATAAAGAACTGTCTGCAAAGGAAAGTCTATGGACCAGTTTAAAGTTCAAATTGAACATCCACTTTATTGACAGATAAGGCCAAAAAATAGTTATAGCCAAAAGTAAAAAAAAAAAATATCATGTGCTCACATGCAATCCTGGGGTTCCTGCAGTGTAGAACGGCAGATAGGTGGTACTAGAAGGGGCTGTAGGCCATAATGGTGGCCAGACCATAAAGGCAAAGAGGTGGCATCACATTTTGCTAGGTGGCTACTACTCCAGTGAAACAATTTAGAGGAAAACTTCACTTTTAGCAAAGTTATCCTGTAAGTGATTTTTACTGAATTTACTATAAAATTCCTGTATTCACTGTGACCAAGTTTCTTTATAGCAGAGTTCCTCTGTGTCACTTAGACTGGGTTCACACTGATACCGTGCGGGAAACGCTGTGAATCCTGTGCGTTTCCCACATTACATTGCAATTGCATGGCGCTCATGCGATCTGATGCAGGTGTCAATGTTAAATTAATGACACTGGAAACAAAACAAATTGCAAAACGCAATGCGATTACCAGAAATCGCATTACATGAGTGAGAATACCCATGCGATACGATTCAGGTAAAAAAAAAACAAATTGCGATTCAGGTGCGAATTTAAAGAAGGGTGCTCATGCGATTCGATTTGAGCCATACAAAATGTATGCCTCACATTGCACTGCACAGACATGCATTTGTAATTTGCACAGGAATGCGGTGCAATTCCTGTGCAAATAACATGCGGTGTCCTGCACCGCATTAGTGTGAACCCAGTCTTACTAATGTGAAATTCCAGGTAAACAGCCTAATACACAGCCCAAAAAATAAAACCGTTTTACCTTACAAAGGATGTGCAGAGAGTCTTGTGATTTACAGTTGGGCAAACTTACAAAATCTTCAGGGGATCAAGTAATTATTTTCCCAATTTCACCACCATAGGCAAGACCAAAGAGCTGTCAAAGGACATCAGGGACAAGATTGTAGACCTACACAAGGCTGGAATGGGCTACAAGACCATCAGTAAGAAGCTTGGGGAGAAGGAGACAACTATTGGAGCAATTATTCGCAAATGGAAGAAATACAAAATAACCATCAATCGCCCTCAGTCTGCAGCTCCATGCAAGATTTTGCCTCATGGGGTAAGGATGATCATGAGAAAAGTGAGGGATCAGCCCAGAACTATGCGAATGATCTCAAGGCAGTTGGGACCATAGTCACCAAACAAACCATTGGTAAAACAATACATCTCCATCGAATGAAATCCTGCAGCGCCCACAAGGTCCCCCTCCTCAAGATGGCACATGTACAGGCCCCTCTGAAGTTTGCCAGTGAACATCTAAATGATTCAGAGAAGGATTGGGAGAGGGTGTTGTGGTCAGAAGAGACCAAAATTGAGATCTTTGGCATTAACTTGACTCGCTGTGTTTGGACCAAGAAAAATGCTAACTATGACCCAAGAACACCATCCCTACAGTCAAGCATGGAGGTGGAAAAATTATGCTTTGAGGCAGTTCCTCTGCTAAAGGTACAGGCCGACTTTGCCGCATATAGGGGCCAATGGATGGGGGCCATGTATTGTAAAATCTTGGATGAGAACCTTCTTCCCTCAGTCAGAATACTGAAGATGGGGTGTGGATGAGTCTTCCAGCATGACAATGACCCAAAACATATCGCCAAGGCAACAAAGGAGGGGCTCATTAAGTCCATGGAGTGGCCTAGCCAGTCTCCAGCCCTAAATCCTATAGACAATTTATGGAGGGAGCTGAAACTTCAAGTTGACAAGCAGTAGCCAAGAAACCTTAAAGCGGAACTCCACCTAAAAGGGAAAGTTCTGCTTTAATGCTGTGTTCCCGCTCCCCATTAAGGATTGGCACCTTTGGGGAGCGGGTATCCGATTATGACAGGTACCCGCTTCTACTTCTGCTGCGATCAGAAGCGGAAGTTGTTCTCCCTCCCCGTAGTCTTCTTGGACACGTGACAGGCCCAGAAAACTACGGGGCCATCCACAAAGCAAAGCGCTTCTCGCACATGTGCAATGGGCACCGGCTGTAAAACCGCAAGCTGTCACAGCCGGGTGCCCATACTAAAAATGCCGGCACTGGGGAGAGAAGACGGTTGGTGAAACCAGCAGTGGTGAGGATATCACTGAACTGAGGGACAGGTACAGTGAAGGAAATAAGTATTTGATCCTCTGCTGATTTTGAATGTTTGCCCACTCACAAAGAAATGATCAGTCTAAAAATTGAACGGTGGATGTATTGTAACACTGAGAGACAGAATAGCAACAAAAAATTCTAAAGAAATGCATGTCTAACAAATGATGCACTGATTTGCATGTTCATGAGGGAAATAAGTATTTGATCCCCTATCATTCAGCAGGATTTCTGGCTACCAGGTGTCTTTCATACAGGTACAAGCTGAGATTAGAAGCAGTCTCTTAAAATGAGTGCTGCTAATCTCATTTTGTTACCTATATAAAAGACACCAGTCCAGAGGAGCAATCAAACAGATTCCAAACTCTCCAACATGGCAAAGACCAAAGTGCTATCCAAGGATGTCAGGGACAAGATTGTAGACCTACACAAGGCTGGACTGGGCTACCAAACTATCGCCAAGCAGCTTGGTGAGAAGGTGGCAACAGTTGGTGCAATCATTCGCAAATGGAAGAAACACAAAACAACGGTCAGTCTCCCTAGGTCTGGTGCACCATGCAAGATCTCACCTCGTGGAGGCGTGTCAATGATCATGAGAACAGTGAGGAATCATCCCAGAACTACATGTGAGGATCTTGTCAATGATCTCCAGGCAGCTGCGACCACAGTCACCAAGAAAACAATTGGTGTAACACTACACAGACAAGGATTGAAATCCTGCAGTGCCCGCAAGGTCCCTCTGCTCAAGATAGCACATGTCCAGGCCCGTCTGAAGTTTTCCACTAAACATCTGAATGATGCAGAGGAGGAAAGTGTTGTGGTCAGATGAAACCAAAATCGAGCTCTTTGGCATCAACTCAACTCGCCATGTTTGGAGGAGGAGGAATGCTGCCTAAGACTCCAAGAAAACCATCCCAACTGTCAAACATGGTGGTGGAAACATTCTGCTTTGGGGGTGTTTTTCTGCTAAGGGGACAGGACAACTGCACCGCATCAAAGGGACGATGGATGGGGCAATGTACCGTCAAATCTTGGGCGAGAACCTTCTTCCCTCAGCCAGGGCATTGAAAATGGGTCGTGGATGGGTGTTCCAGCATGACAATGATCCAAAACACACGGCCAAGGCAACAAAGGAGTGGCTCAAGAAGAAGCACATTAAGGTCCGGGAGTGGCCTAGCCAGTCTCCAGACCTTAATCCGATTGAAAATCTGTGGAGGGAGCTGAAAGTTCGAGTTGCCAAATGTCAGCCACCAAACCTTAATGACTTGGAGAGGATCTGCCAAGAGGAGTGGGCCAAAATCCCTCCTGAGATGTACGCAAACCTGGTGGCCAACTACAGGAAACGTCTGACTTCTGTGATTGCCAACAAGGGATTTGCCACCAAGTACTAAGTCATGTTTTGTGAGAGGGATCAAATACTTATTTCCCTCATGAACATGCAAATCAGTGCATAATTTGTTAGACATGCATTTCTGCTGAATTCTTTGTTGCTATTCTGTCTCTCAGTGTCATAATACACCTACCATTTGATGTTTAGACTGATCATTTCTTTCTGAGTGGGCAAACATTCAAAATCAGCAGGGGATCAAATACTTATTTCCTTCACTGTAAGTACCGTATCTGTATTTTAAAAGTCAGCAGCTACAGTTTTGTAGCTGCTGACTTTTTTTTCAGCTGGAACTCCGCTTTAAAGATTTAGTTAAGATCTGTAAAGAAGAGTGGACCAAAAACCCTCCTGAGTTGTGTTCAAACCCGGTAACTACAAGAAATGTCTTACTGCTGTACTTGCCAGCAAGGGTTTCGCCACCAAGTACTAAGTCACGTTTTGCTTGAGGATCAAATATTTATTTTACTCGCTGAACTGCAACTCAATTTATAACATTTGTATCATGTGTTTTTCCTGGATTTTTGGTTGATATTCTGTCTCTATCATTTAAAATACACCTATGATAAAGATTATGGACCCTTCATTTCTTCTAAGTGGGCAAACTTACAAAATTTGCAGGGGATCAAATAATTATTTTCCCCACTATACATCCATCTTCCACACTGTACAGCCAGAGAGGTGACACACAATTTCCGATTAAGCAATTCAGCTTCGGGTGTCACATCTGCACTTCCAGCTTCCTCAATAGGCAGAAAATCACCAGCATCGCCTCTGTCTGGCTAGGAGGAGGCATGAATACTTAGACAAGAAGAGCTCAGAACGGAACTGCACATTCTAGATGAGGGGGTACTGATGCTCTTTAGAAGGGAAGAGGTCTCCCTCCCTGAAGTCTATACTCCTTTTAGGGCTTGTTCATACTTGTGCCGAGAACTGCATTTTTCTGCACTAGAACAACACAGGTCTCTTCAAGGTACATACAAAACAGCTGCATGCATTTTTCCGCAACGGATCGGAGCATACCTGAAGGCTCTGTGTAATGTCCATTACTAACCAGAAATGATCGAAATTCTGAAATTTCACCAAAGTTAGACAAAAAAAAGTATACACAGTGTGATACGCTTAAACATGCATCACACCACCCTATCCTGACCCTCACATTGAGAGCTGCCCCCACAGTACAACTGTGCGTTTTACCATGTGAATGGGCCATTATTCTACCAAGCATCTTACTTTCTGTAGAAGCAGATTATTACTGGGTACTTTTGCTGAGTCTAGCAGAACACATACGTGATTGATGTCCATACTTTGGACACCCGTGTGCAGAAGAGGGCTATAAGAAATGATAACCAATTAGAGTACAACTGCACACAGTGCACAGACCTTTTCATGTTTTAATATAGATATATAGGTGTAGAGCGGGACTTCCCTGAGGATCGCACTGCATGTTGCCACCGCCAAAGACACAGCGCTGACTGCCAGGCTGCCCCTGACGATCGGCTCAGGAGGGTCAGCAGGAGGAATGGGCTTCTCTGCTGCAGCCACCTTTTTACCTGCAGAGACAAAATATTGCATTATTGTAACCATCATATCAGCATTACTCTCTATGGGGAGGTATTATAGTACCCTATCCATCATGCCAGCATTCTACTCAGAAGTGATCAGTGCTGGGAAAAGATTCTTTAGCCCCGAGGCACAAAGGCCATAGCATCTCCCCTCCACATTAGCTGTGAATCACGCCAACAGCATAGGTTGCAGGTCATGCCCCTTGTTTGCCTCGACCCAGCTTCCAGTTGAAGTGTCCAAGGCAGTCGCTTTTCAACCTACCCCTTGGTCCAGTCCTGTTGTGAGGCTTTGTTCACAATAGATCTAAAGCACATTGCTGCACTTTCAGTTCTTCTCCCATGAAATCACAGTGTGCTGTGCATACTACTTCCAGGATATGTCCGGCAAGCCTCAGCTGTTATCCACTGACTATCACTGTCACCAGTGCAGCATCTTACTTTTTTTTGTATTTTTTTTCTTTTTGTGCTTGACAGTTAAGGCAGTGCTAGATACTGAAAGCAGTGGGGCTCAAAGTGTTACTAAACCCACAACAGTAAAATCAGTCTGTATATGCAGTAAAAAATACTTGTTATACTCACTGTGTAATCTAAGGGGTTAATCCTCTGCATTGTATAAAAAATGCTGTTTGATTGTGACTTCTCTGATCCTCCCCTTCTTCCAGTGTCCCCCTTTTATCTCCTGATAAGACGTGTGGAGACACTCAGTTTGGTGTGTATTGCTAGGGAGGTTTTTTTTTCCTTGGGATTGTGCATGTGATCAGCACAGGGCCAATCAGCACTGTCCAGACAGAGGTCAGGGGTTCTGCATCCTCCTAGATCAGAAAGAAAAACTCCTCCTACAAGCTTTAACATGTGCTCTGCTGGACACTCAGTCACAAGACTGCTCTAACTGCTGATGAGAAAAGGTATTTAGCAGTTTATATTTACTAAAATAATTGCATTTTCATGTTCTGTGTACTGTGGGAGACCGGATATAGTGAATGCAGGGTTCGGAGAGACCAGATATAGTGAATGCAGGGTTCGGAGAGACCAGATATAGTGAATGCAGGGTCCGGGGAGACCAGATATAGTGAATGCAGGGTCCGGGGAGACCAGATATGATGTAATGCAGGGTCCGGGGAGACCAGATATAGTGAATGCAGGGGCCTGGGAGACCAGATATATGTATGCAGGGTCCGGGGAGACCAGATATAGTGAATGCAGGGTTCGGAGAGACCAGATATAGTGAATGCAGGGTGCGGGGAGACCAGATATAGTGAATGCAGGGTCCAGGGAGACCAGATATATGTATGCAGGGTCCGGGGAGACCAGATATAGTGAATGCAGGGTCCTGGGAAACCAGATATAGTGAATACAGGGTCTGGGGAGACCGGATATAGTGATGCAGGGTCCGGGGAGACCAGATATAGTGAATGCAGGGTCTGGGGAGACCAGATATAGTGAATGCAGGGTCCTGGGAAACCAGATATAGTGAATACAGGGTCTGGGGAGACCAGATATAGTGATGCAGGGTCTGGGGAGACCAGATATAGTGAATGCAGGGTCCCGAGGTTTAGTAACACTTTAATTTCAACCCGGAAAAAAGTGGAAGCCTACAGTGTCACTATTCTAATCCAGTATTTGACAGCATGTCACCCAATTACAGTTGTTAAACGGTGAAGATAAAATGAATACCTGTTATGGTTGAATGCACCAGATGTGTGACTTTTTTAAAACTCGAACTAAGGTCAAAATGTCAGATGCAATATTCAGTACAGCTCTGTCATTAGCTAAACATAGCAGGATTGCTTTTTCTAAATCACGCAAGTAATACTTTGTACTGACCTACATCCTGGCAGTTAGGTGAAAATATTGCTTCCTTTTAGAGGATGAGGATGCCGCTACCTCTCTATACAAATGCTTGTGTTGTTGTCATTTGAGCTCATAAACATGCTCATTGAGTGGCTGATGAAAAAGTATAGAAAACTTTCTCTTATATGTATATCCTTCAATATAGTCACCTTTTCCCTATACTCCCTCCATAATGTAACCTTTCCCCATACGTCCTTCCACATAGTCATCTTTCCTCTGTATGCCCCTCCCTAGAGTAACCTGTCCCCTACACACCCCTCTGTATAATCATACATATATGTAGTCTGCTCTCCCCTGTATGCCCCCCATATAGTCTGCTCTCCCCTGTATGCTCTACACATCCCTCCTTATAGGGACTCTGTGGTGGGGGGGTGTTGGGGGGATTTGTGATGAGGGGTAATATCCTTGATCTCGTCTTCTCCCATCTCTGCGCTCCCCACAACCTCACTAACACCCCCTTCCCTCTCTCTGACCACAACCTGATTACCTTCTCTATCTCCTCGTCCTCCAACGCCTACCCCTCCAAATGTCACACTACTACCAGCCGTAACCTCCGCAACCTTAACCCTGCCCCCCTCCACTCTGCAGCTGATCAACTCCATGACCGCATCCTCCCCCTGTCCTGCCCCGACTTGGCCATGACTGCCTACAACAACGCGCTGTCAACAGCCCTTGACTCACTAGCGCCTTTAACCACACGCAACATCAGACCCCGACCGCTCCAGCCCTGGCAGACTGATCACACCAAAACCCTCAAACGACACAGTCGTGCCCTGGAGCGACTATGGCGCAAAACATAATCCCAACAAGCCTTCACCCGCTACAAATCTGCCTTCCGCACCTACACCTCCTCCCTCCACGCAGCCAAACAAGCCTACTTCCTGACCCTCATCAAGACCCTCTTCTCCAATCCTCGCCGACTCTTCTCCACCTTCAACTCTCTACTCTCTCCACCCCCACCTCCACCCAGCGCCTCACTCACCGCCCTTGAGATTGCCAATCACTTCAAAAACAAGATTGACACAATTCGCAAGGACATTGCCGCAACTCACACGCCCTCTCAACCCGTCCCCTCTCACACAGCTACCCCCTCATCCCTCCTCCCCCTCGACATAACTCGCAGGGACTTCGTCGCTGCTCAAACTCCCTCCAACCCCCTTCCCCCTCACTCAGCTACCCCCTCATCACCCCTCTCCCACGGCCCCACCACTGCTCTGACCTCCACTTCCACCCCACCCTACATTCCTCATACTGAAGCTCCCCCAACACTCCACACCTTTGACCTTACCACCATCGAGGAAGTCTCCAAGATCCTCTCTGATGCCCGCCTCACCATCTGCCCCCTCGACCCTATCCCCTCACAACTCCTACGACCTCCCTCCCCCTCCATCCTACGCTCCCTCACCCACATCTTCAATCTCTCCCTCTCCTCAGGCACTTTCCCCTCCCCTCTGAAACATGCACACATCACCCCCATACTTAAAAAGCCCTCCCTGGACCCCAATGACCCGAACAACCTCAGACCCATCTCCCTGCTCCCATTTACATCTAAACTTCTCAAGCGCCTCGTCTACACCCGCCTATGCTCTCACCTCAACGACAACCACCTCCTCGATCCCCTACAGTCCGGCTTCCGTCCCCTACACTCCACCGAAACTGCCTTACTCAAACGCTCCAACGACCTTCTAACCGCCAAAGCTAATGGCCACTATTCAGTGCTCCTACTCCTTGACCTCTCTGCTGCCTTCGACACAGTCGACAACCCCCTCTTCCTCAAAATACTACACTCCCTCGGCCTCAGATTCTGCTCTCTCCTGGCTCTCATCCTACCTGTCACAACGGTCTTTCAGCATTTCCTATAATGCTACCACCTCCCCCTCACTCCCCCCCCTCTCTGTTGGGGTCCCTCAAGGCTCTGTCCTTGGGCCCCTTCTCTTCTCCATCTACACCTCCTCCCTTGGCCAACTCATACACTTCAACGGCTTCAACTACCACCTCTATGCCGACGACACACAAATCTATCTCTCAACCCCCCACCTCACCCCCTCGGTCTCTGCCCGAATCACACACCTACTGAGCGACATATCAGACTGGATGTCGCTCCACTTCCTTAAACTGAACCTCTCCAAAACCGAGTTTCTTGTCTTCCCCCCAGCCCGGACCCCACCCCCCATTGACCTCTCCATCACATCCAACAACGCCAATATCAAACCCGCCCTGCAGGCCAGAGTACTTGGTGTCATTCTGGACTCCAACCTATCCTTCCAGCCCCAAGTCCAATCTTTAACAAACTCATGCAGACTCCACCTCCGCAACATTGCCAAAATCCGCACGTTCCTAACCCCAGAAACCACTAAACAACTCATCCACTCCCTCATCATATCACGACTCGACTACTGCAACTCCCTCCTCACTGTCCTGCCTCGCCGCTGGCTATCCCCGCTTCAGTCTATCCTGAATACGGATGCCAGACTCATTCACCTTTCCAACCGCTCCGTTTCCGACACCCCCCCTCTGCCAATCCCTCCACTGGCTTCCGATTGCGCAACGGATCAAATTCAAAATCCTAACATTGACGTACAAAGCCGTCCACCATACTGCCCCAAACTACATCACTGACCTAATATCCAAGTACCCCGCCCAGCACGCACACTCCGCTCTTCACAAGACCTCCTTCTCTCTAGTTCCCTGGTCTCCTCCTCCCATGCCCGCCTCCAGGACTTCTCCAGGGTGTCACCCATCCTCTGGAACTCCCTGCCCCAACCCATCAGATTATCACCTACTCTACTCTACTTTAGGCGCACCCTGAAAACCCATCTCTTCAGGGAAGCCTACCCTACCCCCTGGTAACTTGACCGACCTCCTCCACTCTTCCTACCACTCCATCCCCCACAGCTATCTCCTCCTGTACCACCATCCCCTCCCTCCTAGATTGTAAGCTCGAAAGAGCAGGGCCCTCGATCCCCTCATGTTTTGCATTGTATTGGTATTGTTCTGTCACATGTTCTGTCCCCCTTTGTAATGTACAGTGCTGAGCGAACTATTGGCGCTTTATAAATACTGTATAATAATAATAATAATAGTCGCCTTTCCCCTGTATGCCCCTTCCTAGAATTAACTTTCCCATACATGTCCCTCTGTATAGTCGTCTTTCCCCCTATATGTCTATATATAGTTACCTTTCCCCTCTATGTCCCTTTTCCACTGTATGTCCCTCCATAAAGTCACCTCTCCCCTGAATGCCCCTCCATATAGTCACCTCTCCCCTGAATGCCCCTCCATATAGTCACCTCTCCCCTGAATGTCTCTCCATATAGCCACCTCACCCCTGAATGTCCCTCCATATAGTCACCTCACCCCTGAATGTCCCTCCATATAGTCACCTCTCCCCTGTATATCCCTCCTTATAGTCACCTCTCCCCTGTATGTCCCTCCATATAGTCACCTCACCCCTGAATGTCCCTCCATATAGTCTGCTCTCCTCTGTAAGTTCCTCCATATAGTCACCTCACCCCTGAATGTCCCTCCATATAGTCACCTCACCCCTGAATGTCCCTCCATATAGTCACCTCACCCCTGAATGTCCCTCCATATAGTCTGCTCTCCCCCTGTATGTCCCTCCATATAGTCTGCTCTCCCCTGTATGTCCCTCCATATAGTCTGCTCTCCCCTGTATGTCCCTCCATATAGTCTGCTCTCCCCTGTATGTCCCTCCATATAGTCTGCTCTCCCCTGTATGTCCCTCCATATAGTCACCTCTCCCCTGTATGTCCCTCCATATAGTCTGCTCTCCCCTGTATGTCCCTCCATATAGTCTGCTCTCCCCTGTATGTCCCTCCATATAGTCACCTCCCCCCTGTATGTCCCTCCATATAGTCACCTCTCCCCTCAATGTCCCTCCATATAGTCTGCTCTCCCCTGTATGTCCCTCCATATAGTCTGCTCTCCCCTGTATGTCCCTCCATATAGTCACCTCTCCCCTGTATGTCCCTCCATATAGTCTGCTCTCCTCTGTATGTTCCTCCATATAGTCACCTTTCCCACTGCCCTTCTTCTTGCTTGCTGCAGGTGAGGCCGGGGGGGTTGGGACAGATCTTGTGGAGGAGGTTGCCCCATCGAGCTCACTCTCCCTCTGCCGTCTCTCTTCCTCCATCTTTGGCTGGAAAAAGTCACTTTTAAAAAAAAACAAAAACAAAAACACAGCTGTGATTTCCCAGAATTCCCCTGACACCCATGTCATGTGATATTGGACACATGAAGATCTCTACTACAACCCACTGTGTCTATACAGTGTCTGGCACTTACTATTTGGGGCCGTTAATGGCAGAGCCACGTCATCCAATCAGACGTTTCTTTTAATTTCCCGACCTCCTTCACAATATTGGCATCTTGGATGTAACATGGCTGGTACTAGTATGTGTCTTTTTTTTCTCAGTGAGACGGGCATACATTAAAACAGAGCTCTGGTTCTGTTGAGGAAACCAATCTCTGAAAGGTCAACTATACAAACTGGGAGTTTTACCAAACTTTACTGCACTGGTACCTGCTTCTGTTCTGTAGATAGTAAGACAAACCGTTCCAGAGCACCTGCCAAAATCTTTCACTGCTCAGCTGGTGGGTCTGCGTACTCTAATCACATGATCAGTGCTGCAATAAAACAGCCCAATCCTACAGTGTCCCTCTAGATGTGGTAATTCACCTCACTGAAGAACAAACACCCATTGCAGTAAACCTAACAACACTGGCGGGGATGCCTACTAATACCAGCTCTCTACAGATTTCAGGAGAGGTTGGGAATCCTGAGAGATCCCATCTGTACAGATATCTGTGCTATATACACACACCTCAATAACTGGTCAACGTTACTCTGCTCATTTGGCTGTATCCCCCCTAGCATGGGTCCTATAGACTCCCGAATCCATTCAACGGCTGTTTCCACCGACATCTTCCTTTCCTTCCCTTCGACTTCAGTTGTGTCGCAGGTCAGCGGCGCCGCGTCTGCGGAGATCACTGCTGAGCAAATTTTCTGTGTAGAAAAATAAGAACTGGATGACTCAATGCTGACTGTACAACCATTAAATTTCTGCAATGGAACAAAAGTTGAGCTGCTGCAACTGATGTGCTAATTTCTCAACTTGCTCTAAAATGTAATTAAGTGCTTATTGTGCAGTCCAACCAGCCACAAAGAGGACGGATCCCATTTCCACCCTTATCAATTATTATTGTGCAGGATTTATTTAGTGACAACAATTTGTCTTGGAAAAGTGGAAACTTAACATCTTAGCACTAGAAACTCCTAAAGAAGCTAGATTTAAAATGTCATACTTTAAAATGTGAGGACTACTGGTGAGCACTGGATGGTTCTGGCATTGCAACTCTCTTAAAGTGTTACTAAACCCAGGACCCCACATTCACTATATCCGCTCTCCCCGGACCCCGCATTCACTATATCCGCTCTCCCCGGACCCCGCATTCGCTATATCCGCTCTCCCCCGGACCCCGCATTCGCTATATCCGCTCTCCCCGGACCCCGCATTCGCTATATCCGCTCTCCCCGGACCCCGCATTCGCTATATCCGCTCTCCCCGGACCCCGCATTCGCTATATCCGCTCTCCCCGGACCCCGCATTCGCTATATCCGCTCTCCCCGGACCCCGCATTCGCTATATCCGCTCTCCCCCGACCCCGCATTCGCTATATCCGCTCTCCCCGGACCCCGCATTCGCTATATCCGCTCTCCCCGGACCCCGCATTCGCTATATCCGCTCTCCCCGGACCCCGCATTCGCTATATCCGCTCTCCCCGGACCCCGCATTCGCTATATCCGCTCTCCCCGGACCCCGCATTCGCTATATCCGCTCTCCCCCGACCCCGCATTCGCTATATCCGGTCTCCCCGGACCCCGCATTCGCTATATCCGGTCTCCCCGGACCCCGCATTCACTATATCCGGTCTCCCCGGACCCCGCATTCACTATATCCGGTCTCCCGGACCCCGCATTCACTATATCCGGTCTCCCCGGACCCCGCATTCACTATATCCGGTCTCCCCGGACCCCGCATTCACTATATCCGGTCTCCCCGGACCCCGCATTCACTATATCTGCTCTCCCCCCGGACCCCGCATTCACTATATCTGCTCTCCCCGGACCCTGCATTCACTATATCTGCTCTCCCACAGTACACACAACATTGCAATTATTTCAGTAAATATAAACTGCTAAATACCTTTTCTCATCAGCAGTTGGAGCAGTCTTGTGACTTCTATCAGTGTTCAGCAGAGCACTGCTTAAAGCTTGTAGGAGGATTTTTCATTCTCCTCTCACTGTCCTATGGGGCTGCAAGACCCCTGACCCTCTGTCCGGAAAGTGCTGATTGGCCCTGCGCTGATCTCATGTACTGTCCCAAGAAAATAAAAACGCTCTAGCAATACACACCAAACTGAGCATGTGCCCCCAAGGCTCTGTTCTATCAGGAGATGGGTCGGGGACTGTGGAAGAAGGGGAGGTCAGAGAAGACAGGAATAAACATCTCCTTTACACAATGCAGAGGATTAACTCCTTAAGTTCCACAGTATGTATAACAAGCATGCCTTACTGCATATATACGCTGATTTTACTGTTGTGGGTTTAGTAACACATTAAGATCGGGGAATCATTATCTGTACAAATAAAAAAGAAAAAAAGGACGCAGACACCTAGTGCATTATCTAAAGCACTTTATTAAAAGGTAAAAGATGGGTTTCGGGGGGCAGACCCCCTTCCTCAGAGCAGAGACTGGTTTGATACCCTCCTTTATCAAGATGACTGAAAATGTATCCCACCGGCACCAAAGAGAACAGGGAAGTCGAAGTGGTCAAATAGAAGTACCACCTCTGGTGGTCCTTGATACCCATCAAAAAGTAGCAGTAGTACAAATCATTACAACCCAACAGCAAAAAAAAAACCCACAAAATAATAATACAAAGAAACAAAAGTACATGTACAATACTCCCAATCTACTGTATATAAACAATGCAGCCACTTTTACCTGAATGCATTGTATATATTATTTTACAGGATTTATATAGCGCCAACAATTTGCGCAGCACTTTACAACATAAGGGCAGACAGTACAGTTAGGCTACGTTCACACTAGCGTTGTGTGCAGGCGGCAGAGAGGCGTTTGGGAAGCGTTTTTACCGCTTCCCAAACGCCTCTGCCAATTCTGCACATTACAGCACATGGTGCTGTTCTAACAGGAGCGTTTGCGTCGCGGCAAAACGGACGCCTCTGGGCGAGTCAGGAGGCGTTGAAGCCTCCTATTCTCGTCTATGGTGCCGCTCTGCAAATGCCCGGCCAGCGTTTTGCGGTGCGGTTGCGGCGCGGTTGCGGAGCGGTAACACCACTCAAACTGCATTATAGGCATTTGTGGGGCGTTATTAACGCTCGGCAAACGCCTAGCAACCGCCGCTAAACCGCGCATGCGGCTTTTGCGGAGCCTTTGCCAGGCGTTAAAAAACACTCCGCAAACGCCGGACCAACGCTTGCCAAGCGCTATAGGGGCGTTTGGCAAGCGTTGGTAAAACATCCAAGTGTGAGCGAGCCCTTACAATACAATTTTATACAGCAGGAATCCGAGGGCCCAGCTCAGAGCTTACAATCTAAAAGGCCAAATACACATCTCACTCCATGCACCTCCCCTTCCAACTACATCCTATAGGGGTTCTGTGTTACCTCCATAAACAACCATAAAAAGTTGTGTTTGCAAAAGTGATGCTCAGTACAGAGGAAATTGTAAAATTGTAGAGAACAAGCCATTTTTCTTCTTCATAAACTGCTCTCTGGATTTAATGTCTGGGCTCTTCCAGGTGCTTAACGCACTCAGACTGGTTGTTGGAATGCAACCACCGGTGTAGGAGGTTGGGAATTTGTGCAGCACCTTACAATATTTTAATACATTCAAGACCAGAGGGTAAGGAGGGTCCGGCTTATAAGAGATTACAATCAAAAAAAGGAAGGGGCAAGTGATACAAAAGGTATTAGTTGTGGGGGGATGAGTTGGTAGAGAAAGTAAAAGTTCAGTTGTTAGGTGAAGGTGTGATAGGCTTCCCTGAGGGGATGAGGTGAAGGATTGCCCAAGGGCAGACAAAGTAGGAGATAGCAGCAAAGACTGGAGTTAGGAGTTCCAGAGGATGGAAGAAGCATTGGTGGCAAGCATGGGAGGAGCTGACAAAGGAGCAAGAGAGCAAGGGAGGAGTGGGGAGGATAGGGTGAACTAGGGATGCACCCATGTATCGGTGGCCGAAAAATCGTGTTATCAGTATTTTGCCGACAGGAAAACGTCTCAGATTTTCATGCAAAAACGCCTCCTAGTGACTTCATTACAAAATCGCTTCTCATAGACTTTCATGCAGTTGCGTCCATATTGACTTCAATGCAAAAACGTCCCCTAGTTACGTAAATGCAAAATCACATCTCATAGACTAATGCAAAAATGCCCCCTACTGACTCCAATTCAAAATCGCCAGCACACATTATTAAGTGTTCTTGCATGGCAGACCACTTACTGTTATCTCACATATATATTCTTATTATTATAGCCAAATTTACCACCCTAACTCCTCCCACAGTTTTTTACACTACATAGACAGTAATATACCGAAACGTGTTGTTCCCGATTAGTGTGCTATTACTTTGTGGAACGTTTCGCCGAATGGTTCATGAAATATCGGCGTTTTTGTGGTGAAATTGGTCCCATAGGAATGAATGGCGGAATGTTCGAAACTAGAGTGGGAGCTGACAAAAGCTAGAGTGTGAGCTGAAAAATCAGGACATGATTTCTAAACTGCCATCACTCCCTCATTTTCAAGCCCACCTACACAAATCTTATATCAAAACGTTCAGCTATCCCTGCTGCCACTAAAAATGTTCACGGCTAAGCCATAGTCCTAATAGTTTTCACAATATGACCATTTGTTTGCAACTCACGCCGCCCATTGACATTCATTGAAACTCCACTCTATCCACCTCAGATTTGAAGGGCAATTTCTAAACTGCAACTGTGTCTTTATTTTTAATATTTCACAGACATACTATGCAACAAAATGTAGGTCTGGGTCTTGTGATTCTCACAATATAAAGCTCTTTGGTGTAGGATTTATAATTTTTAAACTACAACCGTTTGAAGATGGCAACCGCCAGTGAAGTGAGCAAGTTGGAGCAGTTTGTTTTTAACTGCTCTTCTCTGCCCTTGCTGTAGAGTGAGTTGCCATAGGAACCCAGATGTGTGAGGAGGCAGCAGAGTGACAAAAGCTAGAGTGTGAGCTGAAAAATAAAAGTTGAAATGCATTTCTCACTCTATCAAGCTTGTCCATGTGCACTTTTTAAATTTGATCAATCAATTGGTTAGTGTAATGCTTACTATCTTTACTCACTCCAAACACTCCACACAGTTACTCTGCCCATCCACACAGTTACTCTGCCCAGTCCAACCTTTTCACAGTTACTCCAGATACTCCACCCAGTTACTCCGCCCACTCCAGCTGTAGACTACTGGTGGAGGCAAGAACACTTCACACAATTTCCCCAGAAATTGTAGCTTTTCTAGTTCATTATTATAATTATACAGCATTTATATGGCGCCAACAGTTTGCTCAGCTCTTTACAATATAAGGGAGACAATACAGCAACAATACAGTTCAATACAAGAGGGATTTGAGGGCCTGATCCTGGAGCTTACAATCTACCGTAAATTAAAAAAAAAATCTAAAAAAACAGTCAGTTTCAGTTTTCGGCATGTTTTTTTTTCTGCACCGGAGCACACTGGAACTGACTGCACTGGTGTAAACTAGGGCTGTTGGAATACATGGAAAACACTGTGCATGCATTCTGATGCAGACAAAAAGCAGTAGACTGCATCTGGGGTGAACCAACCCATAATGTTTGATGTTTTAAGTAAGTTTTACAAATAAAGGTTCATTAGAAGACAAAAGAAACCTGTTGTAGTAACTGCCTAAAATAGCTGGAGAACAAACAGCAGGGTCACATTATTACAAGAAGTGGAAAAATAATGCGTCAATTTTGAGTTACACTCTAAGCCTGCCTTTCTTACTACAGGGAAACTCGTAAATACATTACAGGTCCCAGGGAACCCCTGTTATGGAAAATTATAATGTACAAAAGTATGCTAAGTAAACAATGTGGAGGCTTAGTAAATGTATCCACTGAGTGTTAAGTACACTAACATATCCGTATGAGAAAATTATATTCAGTAATAAACATTAATTGAAATGAATAATAATTACCAGAAAAGAAACGCAGACAGTGAAAATTGTAGTGCATGCCTTATATTTGATGGTCAGTGGGAGAGAAGCCCCCTTACATTTGTGGTCTCTGGCAAAAGAGCCTTCTTACTTTTGTGCTCAGTGGGAGAGAAGCCCCCGTACATTTGTGATCAGTGGGAGAGAAGCCCCCGTACATTTGTGATCAGTGGGAGAGAAGCCCCCGTACATTTGTGATCAGTGGGAGAGAAGCCCCCATACTTTTGTGCTCAGTGGGAGAGAAGCCCCCGTACTTTTGTGCTCAGTGGGAGAGAAGCCCCCGTACATTTGTACTCAGTGGGAGAGAAGCCCCCCTACATTTGTACTCAGTGGGAGAGAAGCCCCCCTACATTTGTGATCAGTGGGAGAGAAGCCCCCCTACATTTGTGATCAGTGGGAGAGAAACCCCCGTACATTTGTGATCAGTGGGAGAGAAACCCCCGTACATTTGTGATCAGTGGGAGAGAAACCCCCGTACATTTGTGATCAGTGGGAGAGAAACCCCCCTACATTTGTGATCAGTGGGAGAGAAAACCCCCTACATTTGTGATCAGTGGGAGAGAAACCCCCCTACATTTGTGATCAGTGGGAGAGAAACCCCCGTACATTTGTGATCAGTGGGAGAGAAGCCCCCGTACATTTGTGCTCAGTGGGAGAGAAGCCCCTACATTTGTGATCAGTGGGAGAGAAGCCCCCCATACATTTGTGATCAGTGGGAGAGAAGCCCCCCATACATTTGTGATCAGTGGGAGAGAAGCCCCCCATACATTTGTGATCAGTGGGAGAGAAGCCCCCGTATATTTGTGATCAGTGAGAGAGAAGCCCCCTTACACTTATAGCCACTGGAAGAGGAGCCCCTTTACATGGGTGGTCAGTGGGAAAGAAGCCACCTTACATTTGTGGTCA